TGCAGACCACGACTTCCGGAACTCCGGCAACTTCCTTCATAGGAACGATGGATGCGTGGGGTGTAGTCTGTGACTACGGACAAGTGGGGGGAAGGGAGGGGGGGGTATAACATGGAACCAGCGACACCATCGTTCCTGTATGTCCTTATGCTACCCTCCCCCCTCATTCGATTATACACCCCCCCCATACCTCACCCCCACCGGATCTTACTATATCACATGTAGATTATGCAATACACTATATATCCAGCACTATCAACTCCTCCCTTGGATACATGTATCTACCGGGTGGCTAGATGGTTTCGTACGCCTTATAACAACTTTTGCACTCTATACATGCGGCACACGCGCTTTCCTCGAGGATTTACCGCCCGGTAAATAACGAGGACAATAATGGGCATAATAATGATCGCCGGGAGATTATCGAAATTGGAAAGACGCCAAAAGCGTATGGATCGAAACAGAGAGAGAGAAGTAAAATTGTCTACCAATACCCATAGCATAACTCTATCCAACATATATCCACGATGTGATCTTGTTACCGATAACACTGCGCATATCCCCGGGGGCGATCGACGATGACGTTTCTTCTACGTGCATTTACTTTTTTTCCCTTTTTTCTCAATGAAAACGTAAAAATGCACAGAGAGAGTCCCGACAAATATTCACGTACGCGTTACAGCGACAGTTTTCTTCGCGCAGTCGGAAGGAACGAACGGATGACACCATAGATGAAAATATATATATATATATATATATATACATACGCCTATATAAATGCATACGCGTACATATGCACCGAGCGATATAAAATTGATGTTTATTCAAGTGGGATGCAGCGAACGGGAGGGACGAGGGGATTGCCCGCCACATGTTGCCTATTAGCTGCATTGTGAGACGAGAGTAGATATGTGCGCGGCAGGTAGACGGATAATGCGTATAGCGATGCGTGCGATCACGGCGGATGCACAATGAACGATGCACGCGCGTACGGGAGGCCTCGAGGCGGCGCTGATCGCGACGGTTCGCGATAATAATTGCCGCGCCGTGTGCGTTACGCGTGCACGTACGATTACAGATCTGTGTATATATATATATATATATATATATATATATAAATTTGAGAGAAAAAAAAAGAAAAACTTAGGTTTACGAAAACATCTGCGGCGGAAAGGGCCAACGACGTCGTTCTAACGGTCCGGATGAAGTTACCGATAATGGCCGTGAAATTAAAGTCCCACGTATTAGAGACAGTCTAGCTGACTGTCTGGGATATACCGGGGGATCGGTGTTAGCCGGGCGGGTTGCGATGCGGCTACCCCGGTACGTTACACCCTTAAACGTTATGTACAGTTTGTATATAGAGACGAAGAAGGCTGGGTGGAGATACCGGGTGGTGCGAAAAAATCCAAGAGGAATGCGAGGAGGAATACAGGACTTTACAGGGTTGCAATAGGGGTGGACCAGTGCCCTGAGGCTAACTCCCCCCTGTGAATACGCGATGCGTGTCTGGTAATCGCTGAAACGTCGCTCGCGTCTAGGCTGATCGATTTTATCGAAAGGGGGA